CCCCCCCCCCCCCTATTTTTTCCCTCTGAAGTTATTAATGTTCTCAAGGAGCGCAAAATTTGTTTAAAAGGGTTTTTTCGCTCAATTGGAAAAATTAATGATTTTTTCGGATTAAAAGTACAAAAAAAGTATAAAAAAGTATGAAAAAGCATGAAAAAAACCTACCTCTTCATGTTCAATTTTTCATTTTTAGCCCAAGATCTTCAAAAATAATTTAATTCTTAAAAATATATTCCCCTACTTATAGTTAGAATGTTTTGGTGTTTAGATTATTTCCTGTTGTATTTTCGTTTATCCTTCCAACAACCGCAGTACAGACAGTACACTACCAAAACAATAACAAACAAGCTCATACATATCACTATCACATATATCACAGACCTAAAAATAGAAGAATAAATAATCACTCTTATTTACGAAATCGAAAAAATTGCTTATTTGGCAGCAAAAGTTAGTTGGCAGCAAAAGTTATTTGGCAGCAAAAGTTAGTTGGCAGCAAAAGTTAGTTGGCAGCAAAAGTTATTTGGTAGCAAAAGTTATTTGGCAGCAAAAGTTAGTTGGCAGAAAAAGTTAGTTGGCAGCATAAATTAGTTGGCAGCAAAAGTTAGTTGGCAGCAAAAGTTAGTTGGCAGCAAAAGTTAGTTGGCTGCCAATTTATTCAACAAAATGTTGCTTAATTTGCAACAAAAGTTATATCATTGCCAAATATGCAATTTTTTCAATATAACCGATTTTTGTCGCTTAATTCAAAGCATTCCAACTTTTGCTGCCAAATAAGCGATTTTGTTGATTTCGTAATTTAGAGGGAAAATGAATCTAATAGTTGTGTGCGACCTGTACAAATTGACCAAAAACAGTTCGATCTATAGAACACTCTGATAAGAATGGCTAATACTGATTGTCCTTTATCAAATTTGTTTCGAAGTGTATTATTTATAACTTTAGAACTTGTTGTAAGGCTTTGTTAACTAAGAATGTGAAGTCAACTAGTATCCTAAAAGACGACCTAAACTCTTATAATATAACGGTCCCAAGGTTGATTAAGTGTTCTGCTTCGAATATAGACTCTTAATAGCTTATCAAAAGATATAGAAACGAAAGTAACAAGTTTACAATAAAAAAGAATCATAAATGTAAGAAAACAGATAGTATCAATTCCGCATAGTCCCAGTCTTTGTGGGTAACCCTATACTATTATTATTATCAGTACTCACCAATCACAGTTAGGTTCCCCCTTCAGAATATATCTTTTAAACGAGTTCTCAACCCAGAAGGGAGAACACACACACTCCCTTAATTAATAATAACAATAACAGAAATAACAGAAATAACGGAAATAACAGAGATATCAGAGATATCAGAGATAACAGAGATAACAGCATAGATAAAGATAGATTGCGCATAAGACGACATTTTTCAACTTGAAAGATATAAATGTAAAGAGATGTTTTAAAGATATTCCTATTTTATAGATTAACTAGGTCAGTTGTGAACATTGGATGTTCTTACAGGGTGTCCCACAAAACATGACATTTTATAAATAGTTATTTTTATTTAAACAAATATTTTGCTTAATAATATTTTACTTTGAAATCAATTTTTATATAACATGACTCCCATATAATATCTTTATTGATCTTTGGTATCAAACAACTCGACAAATAATGGAAAAAGACATTCTAAACTATTCACCAACTGTCATGTTTCGTGGGACACCCTGTTTGTCATTGAGTACTTGTGGTGTACATGAGTTCTGTAGAGAGAGATTTAAGTTAGTTCAGTCCTTCTCATGTCCTTCTTCAATTCTCGTCAATATGATATATTGCTCAGTGAAATATTGTTTTTCAAATAGTTCCATTCCCGGAGTTATTTTAAACTCTATTATGAAATCCATTAAAAAATAATATTATAATAATTTCAAAAATATAAATAATCTCCAATTTAAAGAGACCTCATCGAAAGATGGTCTTCCCTGCAGTCAGGTAATCTTACATTACTTAGAAGGCAGTTACGACCCTTTTTTAAAAATCATTATACAGAAGCAAAATAGTATTCCATTTGAAATTCTGAGATGAAATACAATTTTACTTTTTAGAAAGTTTTCCGGCATTATTATTAACTCTGTTTACCTTGTATTCTGATTACAATGCCCGTGCCCTCCACATGTATTCTGGCAGACCACCGTCTCCAGGTTTAGAACAGGAATACCCAGAACATCAGGGTTAGTTCTCAAGGTTGCTTTTAGGGAGGAGATTACATCCAACCCTGGCAAATATTAACCATAAAAACATTAGAAGCAACTCAGTGGCGTGTCTGATCAAAGATTAATGAGATATTTTTATTCTTCTTGAAAATTGAGGAGTGGCAAGATTAATGCTACAAAAACTAAGAAGAAACTTGTGAGAATTTAACACTATTCAAGATAGATAAAACGACGATATTTTGGGTATACCGTTTTCAACCAAACATGCAACTCTTTTAAAACTCTTTTGAAATTACAAATGCTTGTAATATCACACGGCTTCTGTACCTTTCAAATATTTTGAATCCCCTGCAGTGGATTTGACCTTGAAGACGACGGTTGCAAAACCGGTTCTTCGAGCTGGTTTCAATGAATCAAGAACTACATCTCCTTTACCTCGCACAAATATCTTGATTGCATCCAAAACATTCCTTAACAATTAATATAAATATTACACTCCTCCATTCGGTAACTTTTAGGAAATTTTACAATTCAAAGAAATGGTTTCTTGCCACAAAATTTATTTTTCCGGATGGTGTAAACCTTTGATAATTCAAATCCAAACTTGAGACTCAATTAAGTGTAGTCATCTTGAATCTTCAATATGGACATAAGACATCCCTGAAATTTGAATTGATTAAAACTTCGACTCTTTGATCTACCAGAAATCAGAATTCATAGATTGAAATATCAAAGGTCTACAACACAACATAGGGTAGCAAAGATATAGGGGTTACCAAATCAGAGTTTGTGGCCAAAACTAAATTCCTTAATCCTTTAAATATAATATTTAGTAATTTTTTTGAAGGCCTCAAAATTACTAACTGCCCAAAAAACTTAGTTTTATAAAAAATACGTTAAACCTTCAAGCAACCGATCCGTATTCCTACTTTAAAAAAGACTACTCATTACCTATTTGACTATTCCTGAGTTCAGCTTGAGTGAGACTATCCAGTTGACTATTCCAGAGTTCAGCTTTAGATAGACTACCAAGTTGACTATTCCAGAGTTTAGCTTGAGATAGACTACCAAGTTGACTATACCTAACTTCAGCTTGAGTAAGACTACCAAGTTGACTATACCTAACTTCAGCTTGAGTAAGACTACCAAGTTGACTATACCTAACTTCAGCTTGAGTAAGACTACCTATTTGACTATTCCTGAGTTCAGCTTAAGATAGACTACCTAGTTGACTATATCTGAGTTCGGCTTGAGATAGACTACCTAGTTGACTATACCTGAGTTCGGTTTAGATAGACTACCCAGTTTACTATACCTGAGTTCAGATTGAGTAAGACTACCCAGTTACCCAGTTGACTATGCATGAGTTTGGCTTGAGATAGACTACCAAGTTGACTATACATAAGTTCAGCTTAAGTAAGACTACCGAGATGACTATACCTGAGTTCAGCTTGAGGAAGACTACCAAGTTGACTTTACATGAGTTCAGCTTGAGATAGACTACCAAGTTGACTATACATAAGTTCAGCTTAAGTAAGACTACCGAGTTGACTATACCTGAGTTCGGCTTGAGATAGAATACCGAGTTGACTATATTTGAGTTCAGCTTGAGAGAGACTACCAAGTTGACTATACATAAGTTCAGCTTGAGTAAGACTACCTAGTTGACTATACCTGAGTTCAGCTTAAGATAGACTATCCAGTTGACTATACCAAAGTTTAGCTTAACATAGACTACCCCGTTGACTATACCTGAGTTCAGCTTAAGATAGACTATCCAGTTGACTATACCTGAGTTCAGCTTGAGATAGACTACCAAGTTGACTATACATAAGTTCAGCTTGAGTAAGACTACAGAGTTGACTATACCTGAGTTCAGCTTAAGATAGACTATCCAGTTGACTATACCTGAGTTCAGCTTAAGATAGACTACACCGTTGACTATACCTGAGTTCAACTTGAGTACGACTACCCAGTTGACTATACCTGAGTTCAGCTTGAGTAAGACTAGCGAGATGACTATACTTGAGTTCAGCTTGAGTAAGACTACCCAGTTGACTATACCTGAGTTCAGCTTGAGTAAGACTACCAAGTTGACTATACCTGAGTTCAGCTTGAGTAAGACTACCCAGTTCTTGATCAAAAATGATTTCTACTGAGGAAAGAACATCCTTGTCTTCCTCAACAGTAAACGCGACCTTTCCATTATCAGTTTTCCCCTGAGCATCAGCCACCTTAAACATTAAACACATATTTTAAAGCCAAAATCTGAAATTCATATTTCATGAATCAAGATTTATTGGGTTGGTTTCATTGCTATAGAGTGTTAAGACCCCAAATATAGTTTGTGACACTAATGACTTGTTTCCATAACCAAACATTCAATGTTTTAGATTGTGGTTCCACTTCAACCTCGAGCTATGCAAGATATGGTAACTACTGAGGTACTTCCAAACCAGTTTTAGCTGTATGGTGGAGGGAAAATAGACCTCCATTACCTTAATTCTGTCTATTTTGTCCAAATATTACAACTGAATGTTGAATTTTGGAAAAGCTCTTTTTGTTCAGTATCCATTTATAAAGTTAAAAAGCAGTTGATTGAAATTGTGAAAAACATGATAACCTTTCCATTTTGGAAAAGCTCTGACCGTTTTATTACAAATATGCAGAGATTTGCAAAATCTTACAAAACTTGGTTTTCAATAAAGAAAAACTAAAAATGTTGATTGAATAAAGTAGGCAGTCGGGCAGTATGCTTTTACACAGTTTGATAAAAAATGCCTAATAAGGCTTAAAGCTTTGTCCATATGTTGTTCGTACAAAGTAATTAAGTTCATATCAATTTTGTTCTATGTTGAAAAGATCAATATATGGAGTGTGTAAGAATTAATATTCTTCTACACCCCCAGTGAAAGAATAAGCATTCTTACACGCAAGGAAGCGAACAATATTAGAAATGTTTTCTCCTGAACCGTGTAATAATGGGAATTCTTACACAATAGGTTTACAATAATGGAATCGAACAGATTTGATATAATAACAATAACAACCATACAACCCTAACTACAGAAAATTGTGTGTGCCTCCGTGTAAGGGAAGATGAACCTTTTATGATCCAGTTGTCTTAATAAAGTTGATTAACACTATAAAATTAACCCATACACAATTTAAATGAAAATATTAAAATGTTTCCAACCTTTAATGAGAAGAGATAGTTCCCCTGCACAAGATCTGTTAAAACTAGTTTAGATGAATTCCATCCTCCTACAACTAGACCAGCTGATATACTCTCTACACAACCCATATTCATCAGAAGGAGTCCAATATTCATCAGAAGGAACATATTTTATTGAAAAAATCCCTCTCCCAGGCCAATAAAGCAGTTTACATAAAAAGGAAATTTCCTTTAACCTTCTTGATTTTTAGGCCCAAAAAGTCATTAAAAAACGTACATCTGGGAATAAACAGATTTTTCAAGAAAATATATACCATATATGGAAAATACTTACATAGGGAAAAGGGGACTTGAAAATTAGTTACTCTAGATGTTGCACCTAATTTGGAATTTCATGCAACTTTTTAGCTACAACACCAGTCTATGCATTTTGCTTATTGAATTATTATGTTTTTTAAATAAAATTATGTTTCTTTAAAACCTTTAAGTGAAAGGTGGAAACATTTTCTCTTATTTTTTTCTTCTATTTACCATCCTTAATCTTATCAAATTTTATTTAGATTCCTTGATAAAAAATGCCCCCCCCCCCCGCCAAAAAAAAGGTGAGTGAATAGTGGGGGTTCATTAAATCTTAGCAGTACGTTCATTTTCCGGCCAAAAACCTAAGTTTTTCTTAAGTAAAAGTGCATTTCCGTTCCAATTGTCTGATCTGAGATGAAAGAATGAATGAAAGGTTAGGTGGATAAATGAATGAATGAATGAATAAATGAAAGGAAGGATGGCTGAAAGGATGAATGAAAGAATATCGATGAATTCTGTGCCTGGTTCTCTAGTCCACTCCCAGGATTCTATTGCAAGATCATCAGAACTTTCAGATCCATCCAGGGTAATAGAAGATACTGGGAGCATTACTTTATCTGATAAAAATTTAAATTCAAATTTTCAAAATAAATAATTCTTGAAAAGCACAGAATGTGCGGTATGATTTGCTGAACCAAAAAAAGCAAAAACAAAAATAGAAATAAATAAAGAATGAGAACACTATACTTACAAACAAATCCAAATAAACTTATTTTTACCAGGTTGAAGAATTTTAGCTATAGGGGCTTGGTTAGTATCTTGACGGATAGTCACCAGGACATCATCAGTATCATTGTTACCACTACCATCACTAAATAGATCATCATCAGTATCATTGTTACCATTACCATCACTAAACAAATCATAATCAGTCTCATTGATAGCACTATTATCATTAAACAAATCATCATCAGTATTATTTTTACCATGACTACCATTACTAAATAGATCATGATCAGTATCATTGTTACCACTACCATAACTAAACAGATCATGATCAGTATCATTGTTACCACTACCAACACTAAATAGATCATCATCAGTATCATTAATAGCACATCCATCACTGAACAGATCATCATCAATATCATTATTACCACTACCAACACTAAATAGATCATGATCAGTATCATTGTTACCAGTAGCATTACTAAATAGATCATCATCAGTATCATTGTTACCACTACCATCACTAAACAGATCATCATCAGTATCATTGATAGTACTAACATAACTGAACAGATCATCATCAGAATCATTGTTACCACTACTATCACTAAACAGATCATCATCAGTATCATTGTTAACACTACAATCACTAAATCAAATCATCATCAGTATCATTGTTACCACTACCATCACAAAACAGATCGTAATCAGTATCAATGCTAGCCCAGTGATCCCTGAATAGGTCGTTATTAGAAATGCTGGTACAGCAGAACCAAATGATTCCCTGTTTATAGGAAAAAAGCATTCCCATGAGCGTGATTTTTGTCTGAAAGTGACATTATCAAGATGTCCCGCACGGCTCAAAGGCTTTAAATAAGAAAAAAAAACCTTTTCAAAAACCAACCTGACTGTTAGTTGAAATTTATAAGTTCCAACAGCGAGACTAGATACATTTGTTTTCGCAGATCCAGGCAAACTTATTTTAGCAACGTTAGGGCCTAAAACAGTTTAAGTTTTAGATGACATTATTCATATTTTTCCTGATTTCCATGGAATGATTTGTAATAACAACAATAATACATTCCTTATGAAACTAGAAAGAAAGCAACTCTACAAAATTGTCTTTGATTCCTGGTTTTAGCCGCTTATAGTGCTAATTTTATGAGACAATTATTTAGAGCAACCACCATTCCATTTTCATTCATTTTTCACATTAAAAAAATTAACCAAAATATTGAAATCAACGAAAAGTGATAAATTATTAAAGGTGTTCATAATTCATAATATTTCGCAATCATATTTGATACAGACTAAAAATATATTACATTATCCAAAATGGTCTTAATTGAAATATTTTTAACACCAAGTTGTTGGCGGTATTCACTATCAGAAATGGATAATGGATATAATGCCAACATATTGAAACTAGAAAGAACGAACTTGGTGTTATCAACATTATTATTACAATATGCTTAACAGCTAATATCGATCAAATTAACAAAGCAACTACTTCTTTAAAGGGAGTGTTCGCGAAAATGAAAGGGGGTATAGGCTTAATGCGATAAAAAAGCGCTTTTGATCGCTACTAATCTTACTTCTATCTGTTGTGTCTATAAGGAGAAACTTGTTAAAGACGTCTCATGCCGAATAACTTAGCACCCATACAAATTGAGAAAATTGTAACATACGACTTAGACCGTAAAAAATCAATTTAATTTCTAACAAATCATTCAGATATTACAACCTATAGTCATCGATTATCTTTCGCCACATTTGTATATAGTTTATATTTTATAATATTTTTTAATTAATTTGTTTTGAATTTGATTATTTCTCTTGCGGCTTGCGCAACTATCTAAGAATGCCGCGGACCACTCACATTTTTCGAAATCAGTTAAAACGTTTTCTGAACATATAAAATATTATAAAATATAAACTATATACAAATGTGGCGAAAGATAATCGATGACTATAGGTTGTACTATCTGAATGATTTGTTTGAAATTAAATTGATTTTTTACGGTCTAAGTCGTATGTTGCAATTTTCTGAATTTGTATGGGCGCTAAGTTATTCGGTATGAGACGTCTTTAACAAGTTTCTCCTTATAGACACAACATATAGAAGTAAGATTAGTAGCGATCAAAAGCGCTTTTTTATCGCATTAAGCCTATACCCCCTTTCATTTTTCGCGAACAATCCCTTTAAGTGATTTAAAGAAAGGGATAACAAATAGAATGAATTCCTATTTGTTCTAAATATTCGGATGAAACAAAATCCACAAAAAAAGTTAGAGTTAGATCAACTATTCTAAAGATTTTATCTGAATTATAACCAGTTAAACGATCCACCAAAAATTGAATAATGAATTGTATGCGAACCTTCCAACTGTTTCCAAACATATTGTGTTATATTGAGATCATCTGTGCTGCCACTTCCATCCAGAACTATAAAAGGAAGTGGGAGAGATAAATCTTGGTCCTGAAAACAAAGAAATGAAATTTATTTTCATATTTTATGTTTAAAAAAACCTCTTTTCCTTCTTTATTGAGTTAAAAACAAATGTTTGATAAATCTGAGGCAAGATTAAATTATCTGTAAGTAGTATAACTATGAATGTTTAGTTCACCTACTTCAAACTGTTCATATTTTCCAACTAATGCTCTAAAGAATAAATATATTATCATATTGGCAGTTTTTTCCAAGGTTGGGAAAAACTCAGCCCAATTGGTTTTATTGGGGGTTATTGTTTTTTTTGGGCTTTTTATGCTTTTTAATTAGGAAATAATTAAAATAATACTAATTCATAATATTAGGACTATTTAAGCCATAGGTGAACTTTAGTTATAAAAAATAATAATGTTGTGATAATAGGCTTAATTATATATAAATACCCTTCAAATATTACAATATCACCTCCCTTCTTTATAGGGGGAATACTGCACTTACAGGTTTTTATTGGTTGGTTTTGACTGGTTTTTCTTATATGTCAACTTTGGTTTTTTTCACAATCAACTTTTATGTTCAATATTCTACTGATCCAAATATTAAAAATTATATCTATATAATAAAGCTCAAAGCTCATATATATATTATACATTTTATGTTAGCTATAGCTGGCTAAACGGCTGGACCGAATGGGCTGACATTTTTAAGGAAACTAATGGGTATCCTTAGGGTAACATAGGCTAAAAAAATGTAGATTTTTTTCAGAGTTTAATTTTTTTGCATGTGTCAAAAATTCCACGGGCAATGCTGAGCACTTCAGCCAGTATCATAAAGGGTTCCCCACAAAGGGTGATACTTCAGAGACGACTGTACGGAATTTGTATTGTCTGTTATCTAGCATTCAGGGTTCCTTGTAGGCTTATTTTTTGTACATAAGCATTTTGTTAACCATTAAAATACTCGATTGAATGAAGAAACCAAATATCAAGCTTCAAATCGTCACATTTTTAGAGTTTTGGGTCGTCTTTACAGTCTCATTCTTTGTGACTAACCCTGTATAATACTTAAAAAAAAATTTTAACTCACAAGACCGGCGTCAGCATGAGGGGGAAGGTTTGATGGAGGTTTAACATAAACTGAAACCTCATCAGATCTCATCTGATCAGCACTATCTGTAACCTAGAGAAATATTACAATTTAATATAAACTGATACAAAACTATTTATATAAACTTAAAAGTTGAAGAAGGTTAAGTCCGCACTTCCATTAAAATGTTGTTTATTTTAAATAATATAGATTTTTGTTGTTGTAAAAAATCACCTTAAGAACAAAATTATAGATTCCCATTTCCAGGTTTGCAATCTTCAAGTAAGGAGTTCTTGCTCCTGAACAAATACAAACAATTAATTTAAAGGGGTTGTGAGATTTACGATGGTACCCATGAAAGCTTTGTCTGCTCAAGTTAATTATAAATTAGGTCATTTTCAATTGTTGTCTCTCTACAATAATGACTTTCGCATTTCTACTGCAGGAAAGAATTGAGAACGATGAAAAGCAGGAATTTTTAATATGGTGTAAATTACCACTCAGTGAAAAACGAGACCTTAATTCCGAACTATTGAATGATGTGAAGATTAAGTATATGGTTTAACTGCTTACTAACCAGCTTAAGTGGTAATTACGTCAGAAAGCTTAGTTAGTTTATATTTTGAACTTTTATGAAAAAAATATTATGGTTTGTACCTGTAATATCAGCTGGTAGCTCCACTCCATCCTCAGGTTTTTTCTAATAAATCAATAGTTATATTTATTTATCATACAGTGATATCAATAGTGCCGTTTACTGAAACAGTAATATTTAGTTTATAATAATTCATTGGTAAATACACCAACCAATCTTTAGCGGAACCAATTCAGTAAAAAATAATGTATAAAATATATGCCAGCCTCTGTATTTTATTTCAGTACTGATATATATGTTGACCACAGTATTGGAGAAGAATCATTAAGGTGTTTTTCTATGTTTTGTCCAGAGCTTAGGATCCAGATCCGGATCCGTATCCGCATCCTCAGAAATAAATATGCGGATCCACGGATCTGGATCCAAGGGGTAAAATATCAACCAAATACTGAAAAAAACTTGTTTACTCTTAAAACCCAAATTTGAACGGTTTAAATAGGAAAGATTACAAAAATTTCAGGATCTCTGTAAGGTTTATCAAGTTGTAGCATAAAAATAAGCGAAAAAAAGAAGAAAAATAATTTGACAATTCTGCTTTGCTAAAACAATGCTGTAAATCTTTCAGAAATGTTCATGACCTTGGTCCGGATCCGGGTCCATTATTTTGATGCGGATCCTGAATCCGGATCCGCATCAAGATGAAATGGATCCCAAGCACAGGTTTTTATCTTAAAACAAATCATTTTCCAACCTTCGTTTTTACAAACACTAACCTTAAAGTGACCTTATTAAGACCCGAGTAAAATCCTATAGTTTAATTGTCATGGATTAGGAGGAATTTTTCATCCTCAGGAAAACAGAAATTAATTTTCAGAGTCTCTCCATTTATATATGTTCGATTCACAGTGGTAACTTTTAATCCTTTGTTCGATTAAAATTTGATTTTCAACACTTTTCACATCTGAATTGTTATGAGTGCCATCGAATAATTTGTTCATACAATTTAACTTGATCAGATGACCGTTTACATACATAGATAGGGGGNGGCACGGAGAAGGTTTCGCAGGGCTTGGAGGTCATTCTGTGTATCAGAAGGCTCCGGAGGTCATTTCGCGGGGCTCAAGATGGCGGCTCTGCACCCCCTCCCTCGCCAAATAAAGCTTTTCTGCTTTTATTATGTGAAGAAAATGGGAAAAATATTTTTAAACCTTTGTCCACTCCCATGAAACTATTTCATGATCGTCTGAGCTCTTGTTCCCGTTGAGAATAACGATATTGTGAGGCAGGTAAACAATCTTATCCTCGCCAGCATTTGCCTAGGAATAATAAACTTATAGATAAATTCTAAATAAAGCTGAAATGTATGTATGTACATTGTACATGGCTAGATGCTATATCGTTTGCACTAATGTCCGATTGAACTAACGTACTTTTGCACTAAAGTCAGCTGATCAGTAACACTTGTGGCCGCAGCGCCCGGCCCCCTAGCCTGTTCTAGCCGAAGCGCTAGGCCCAGAAATTGTCTTAACCCAACCTAACCCTCAAATAAAACGTTAGTCCGAATGAACGTTAGTGCGAATGTACGTTAGTCCGATCAATAATTAGTGCAAACGATACGACACCCATGGCTACCCAAAAAGGATAAGACTGTGAAGACGACTGAAAACTCTGAAGATATGACGATCCCAAAATTAAATTAAGTTACTGCCTTGAATGGCTTATTTAATAATTTGAAAAAGAAACAAATTTACAATTTCAGGGAATTATGGATATGATGCAACAAATTCTGTAAAGTCATCCCTAAAGTCTCATCTTTCTGCGTAACCCTGTATTAATATTGAGCTCTCTAAGTGGGCCCAATAATGTACGTCCTGAAGTTTAGACCGCCTGATTCGGTCACAAACCACGTTGGGACAATCACATACTGGGTCTGGACTAAACGAGCTGTTGCAGTGGTTCGGATTATGCAACTTTTGAACTAATGTGTGCTAAATATATTTTCTCAGTGTAAGTTAACATAAACCTGCCGCACTAGATAGGAAATAGTTTAAGCTTATGGGAACTGTTAAAATCTAAGGTTATGTTCAACATTTAGAAAAAGACCGCAGTACTCAAATTTCTATTAATTGTGAGATTTTAATGTAGATTTGCATTAAAAACAGTTTAATATCTTATTCATATAATTGTTACAAATCGATTTTACATTTTTAAACATGTTTTAAAGGAATTTTATAACTTTTATAGAGTCCATCAGAACTTAAAGAAATGACTAATAACTCGATGGTTTATCTTGGCACACACAACACACACGTTTTACATGATTTAGACAGAAAATAATCTTGACAAACCAAATGAAAAAAAAACTTTCAGACCATACTAACATATTTGCAAAGTCAATTTTGTTAAAAAAATATTTATTATAATAAAATTCTGACCGTGGGTGGATAATCTGTCTCCTTGAGAACTGATAAAGAGGAAACTGCTGAATCAGATTCCCCCTCCTTATCCTTCACTGTCAGCTTTATACTGTAATTCCCTAGGGACATCAAATATTTTATAAATGAGTAGCTTGATATTATTCTAAATATAGATATAGTCTGGTAAAGGTAAAATAAGGCATTCAGGCAGTATGCCTTAGGACTCAAGCAGTAGGTATAAAAGCACAGCTTTTAGCCTAAAGTACAGGGCATGTATATAAACAGTCCAAAATAGAATAACATCAGAAGACCAATACTTTTTGAGTTATCACAGTCGGAACAGGGTGAAGGAAGGATTTGAATCAATAATTCAAATTTGAACCAGCGGTAGGCAGTTCAAATTCATCAAATTCGGTCCATGCTTAGATAATTCAATACCACCAACAAAGGGTTCTAGGGTAGGTACTGCAGGTAGTTCAGGTAATTGCCAGCAATAAGATGGTCTAGAGTATAGGTAGCTGCTGCAGGTAGTTAAAGTACTTTCCAGCAATAAGATGGTCTAGAGTATGGGTAGCTACTGCAGGTAGTTCAGGTACTTACCAGCAATAAGATGGTCTAGAGTATAGGTAGCTGCTGCAATTAGTTCAGGTACTTACCAGCAATAAGATGGTCTAGAGTATGAGTAGCTACTGCAGGTAGTTAAAGTACTTACCAGCAATAAGATGGTCTAGAGTAAGGGTAGGTACTGCAGGTAGTTCAGGTTGGTATCCCATGGGACCGCTACTAACTACCCAGGTAAAAGAAAGATCATCACCGTCGTCAGAGGATTTGCTTCCGTCTATCACAGCCTGCAAAAAAAGAAAAAAAAGAAAAAAAGCTTTGTAGTTAATTTAGACCTCTCGCAGGACTAGGCGGGCTGTTGTAAAAGCCTGGGCTGCATGATAAGACTTCCAGCAAGCAGTCTGACCCAGGTAGTATTTACCAGTATACGATCCTAACAGGCCCCTACCCTGAGGCTCACATCTCATTATCCAATGGAGGTGCTGATGGGTCGGTTTACTAGTTTTTTCTCAGTCCACTTAGAGGACAACTGAGGCCCTTTGTTATAATGAAACAAATTGGAATAAAAACATAGAAATGCAATGAAAGGCCTAAATATAATCGAACTTTCTGAGATGATTTATTCCCTTATTACATATCTATAATATCCAACCTATATTTCAAATTCAGTACAATGAAGACGACTTTTAATTTAAATTTTGATTTCAACCAAGCTTTCCATGTTAAAGCTTCTCAGTAAAATTTAAAACTTATAATTTAAAAAAGCTGGTTGATATCAAAACTGAAAAAGAAAAGCCATCTTCATAAACGCCAAGACTACTGTATCTAACCCATGTTTAATTTATACTTTGCTTTGAAGAAATAAAATGTTTTATTAGTGACCATTCCCTTTAAAGGTTTGATGCCTCTAAATCACCTTGTTGGTTGGAAGAGTAACTATCTGACTGGCGGGGACAATTACAGCTTTTGGCGGAGTATTGATGCGTGGTAGAGGGAGTACTGTAACATTTGCCATAGTTTCACCATAACCAGGAGGAGATTTAGAGGTCACAGATACCTAGACAACCAATATATATCTTATCAGGTGCTAGGATCTAGCGCAATTAATATTTCCAAAGTTTAGCCAGTTCCTTTGACCAAAACAAATTTGAAAAACTGGCCGCACTCTTTTCGCTAGTTTTCAAATAGAAACGTGACAATTAAAATATCTGAATTTTGCTACTTGGATCTGGATTCAGGAGTTGTTGGGGTGTTTTGGTGCCCTAGAAAGGACGATAACAAGGTCCTCCTATGTGATATATTTTTGAAGTTTTTAAAGCCCTTTTCAAGTATATCTGTCATAAATAGCATATTCAAAATACATTTTCTTCTTTTTCCTTCCCTCTTCCTTCTTTTCCCCCCCTTATCTTCTTAAATTAATTGCAATCAGAGAATAAAATGAGTCGTTGAAAATAATAATAATAATGATATGTCTGTTCCTTGAAAACATAAACTCCTTCTTCCAGAGCTGACAGTTTCAACGTCTCACTGTTAGAGTCAGATTCAGTTCCTAAAAATATCCATATGCGTTATTTAACTCCTAGAAATATCCAATACGTTATTTAGTTGCTAGAAATATCCATATACGTTATTTAATTGCTAGAAATATCCAAATACGTTATTTAATTGCCAGAAATATCCATATACGTTATTTAATTGCTAGAAATATCCATATTGGTTATTTAGTTGCTAGAAATATCCATATTGGTTATTTAATTGCTAGAAATATCCATATAAGTTATTTAATTGCTAGAAATATCCAATCCTTATCCCTTATTTTATTACAGATTGTAAAGATTGTAACCAGGGTTACACATAAAGAATGAGACATGAGAACCGACTGTACGGAATATATACTGTCTGTTTCCTTATAATCATTTTTCCCTGCCAACTTTAAACTTGTTTCTTTCTTTGCCAAAATCATTTAATAAACCATTTTAGGAAACCACTTTCTTTGCCAATTCATTTAATAAACCATTTAAAGAAACCACTTTCTTTGCCAAATCATCTATTAAACCATTTAATGGAACAGCTAGCTTTGCTAAATCATTTAATAAAGCATTTAAAGAAACCACTTTCATTGCCAAATCCATTAATAAACAATTTAAAGAAACCACATTCAAGGCAGAAGACTTGAATTTAACTTGTAATTATTATATTTGAAAAGTTCTAAATCGTTTTTACAGTCTCATCCTTTGTAGGTAACCCTGTACCTTGTAAATTTGATTCCTGAGCCTTCCATTCGTACGAGAATGGATTGTCCTTGGTAGGTGCTGGAACTGTAAAGGCTGTTAGACTAGAACTAGATTCAGGTAGTCGGATAGTCTTATTAGAGACAGACACAGCTATAGTTATAGTCTCTACCACTGGCAGTGCTGTAGTCACTGGAAATAGTATTATTATGATAGATGTTCTTACATACAATTTTTTTAAGTCAAAATTTTTAACACAAGTTTTTTGAAGTTGCAACATTGAGCACAAATATGCCATTAACTTTTGTTCATTTTCTTATTTGAATCTACTTTTTACTAAACAGGAAAAACATTTAAAGCTGATCGTAACTGTGCAAGTGTTCAGAACTTATTTAATCAAATCGTGGGACTTATTTTAAAACTCTGATTGTTTATCAAGTGTGCAGTGTCAGACAAGTTGACATGTTTCTTTATAATTGTCCTTGTTTAAATAGATAAAGTTGGTACCTTCAAGAGTAGGGTTGGGAATACAACCTTCATTAGTATATTTAGAGCCTTCACCACATCTGCATACTCCATTCCTGAATGGAAAGAGAAATGATGTCATTTTAAAAATACCAACATTATTAATTAATGGTGTTTTAGTCCCTGATACTAGTTCCTGCACTCACCGCACTATTTTTAGTTTTTTGTGTCGCTATAAATAGATCACAAATCTCATTTACATGAAGAACTAAAGAGTTAATTCCATTTACAAGGTTTTCAGTATTTGCGTATTTTGAACCACAATAAAAACCCCGCGGTTTATGAATTAATAAATCTTTTGTCATGCCTTTTTTTCCTCTAAAGAGCAGATGACATGTTTTAGTCACAGAGCAAATGATGCGATAAGAACTAATGATAAATAAACTAAAAGTCCATAGATCAATTGGTAATAAATAAATTGGCAATAGATCAAATGGCAAAAGAACAAATGGCAATAGAACAAAAGGTAATAGAGCATCTTTAACATATTTAAAACAGAAGTTTTCATCTCTTGTGCAATACCTTGATTTCGAGTGGAGAGGAGAACATATTTCTCCGGGTTTACAGGACTCCAGTTCTAACCCTACTTCACAAACTGTATCTTTAGCAACTGTCACGTTGGGCCAGGGCGGGCTGTTAGGGTGAATCAAAACTATACAATTAATCAGATAAAATTAATCAAATTGAACCAAACCAAACCGAATCGAATCGAATCGAATCGAATCAAATTAAATCAAATTGCATTAAATAGAATCGAATCATGTCATAAAAGTGTGTTACTTCTAAAATATCATTACAAAAATATTTTCTTTTATAGGAAATCCAACTTTAAAATCTTCAAATAAGAAAAACAGGCAATATAAAGATAAAACAAAATTATTGTTTTAAATTATCTATTAGATCTGACTAGACACCTAGGGTGGATGGATATTGGCCAAATTCCTTGGCCGGAAGGCATAATTCATCTTTCTCACAGTACACAAACATACACTGTACAGTTAGAAACTAATATATTGCAGTACACAAACATAAACTGTACAGTTAGAAACTAATATATTGCAGTAAACAAACATAACCTGAACAGTTAAAAACTAATGTATTGCAGTAAACAACCATAACCTGTACAGTTAGAAAGTAATATATTGCAATAAACAAACATAACCTGAACAGTTAGAAACTAATATTATGCAGCAAACGAACATACAATGAGATAAAAACTAATATTATGCATTACACAAACATAACCTGTACAGTTAAAAACTAATATATTGCAGTACAAAACATACAGTGTACAGTAAGTCTTAAGCTTTGAATTAGATAATCTTTTTTATTATCAGCTTCTTTCCTCCTCTTTATCATCTTTACTGACAGTAAGAGCTGCATTACAAGCTGCTTCCTCACAACAATCAGTCATACATTCTAAATAAATATATTAAAAACATTAATTACAGACACACAACAAACAATAATTGTAAGAGTAAGAGTAAGAGTAAGAGTAAGAGTAAGAGTAAGAGTAAGAGTAAGAGTAAGAGTAAGAAAAGTCTCATCTTTCTGCGTAACCCTGTATTAATATTGAGCTCTCTAAGTGGGCCCAATAATGTACGTCCTGAAGTTTAAACCGCCTNAATAAGAATAAGAATAAGAATAAGAATAAGAATAAGAATAAGAATAAGAATAAGAATAAGAATAAGAATAAGAATAAGAATAAGAATAAGAATAAGAATAATAAACTCTAACATTAAAAACCATATCAATTATCAGTGTTAATATGAATATTAAAATCATTAACATTACCATTGACATGCACATAAACTTATCAATATTCATTTAAAAACAACCTCAACCTCAACCTCAACCTCAACCTCAACCTCAACCTCAACCTCAACCTCAACCTCAACCTCAACATGAACATGAACATGAACATGAACATGAACATGAACATGAACATGAACATGAACATGAACATGAACATGAACCTGAACATGAACATGAACATGAACCTGAACCTGAACCTGAACATGAACATGAACATGAACATGAACATGAACATGAACATTAACATGAACATAACCCACTAACACAATAACAATAACAACATCAAAAACAATAATACTTCTAATAAAATACACCTGTGAAGTCTGTGTGGTTTGTTGGTATGAGACGGATACCGGAAAGGCTATGTTCAACTCCTAAAAAATATCTTTGCTTGACAATAAAAAAAAAATTATAATAAATCTCTTAAAATCCCCAAAAATATATATAAAAAATCGTTAAGCATCCTAAAACTAAAAAAAGGTATTATAAAAAATCTTTGGCATTCAAAAAATATGAACAGGAAGGAAAGGGTTGCGGCAAAACCAGCAGTACTGTTCATCTCTCGCAGTCGTCTTCTTCACGATATTTAACCACCTATCAATAAATAGATAGAAGCTTAAATACACAAAAAAAATTTAATTATGAAACATTGCTAAGAATCTAAAACCTAAAAAAAAATTTGAATGCTAAAGAAACCGCAGGGTAAGACAATTTGTTTGTGACACTCCTATAAGGCCGATAGCGAATCAAAAATTTTGCTGATTAGTTAAGTAAAAGAATAAACTTTTCAAATCATAAAAAGTCGTACTTAAGATCATTTTGGCTTCCTGGATCCGGATCTGAATTGTTGAAAAAAGAGAGATTATTAAAAATGTCCTTATCTCAGAATGGTTCTTCAAGTTTTAGCATAAAATTAAACGAAAAGAAGAGAAAAAATAATTTGAAAATTTTTCTTCTGTTGAAAAAAATGTCAATTTTAAAGAAATGTTAATGACCTGGATCTGTAACCATTTTTTCCGCATCAAAATGAATTTGATCTTGAGCACTGATAAAAGAGTTTATTTATAAATATTTAGTACCATATGGCAGATGTGAGGGTAGAGGTGTATCAAGAAGAAAAGGACACGAACTTTTATCGCTGAGAATACCCTAAAAAATAAAAAATAAAAAAAAATTTCTATGCTCTACTGAAATTTTAACATTTTTTTACAGTCATCGTCGTTGTATATATAAATACTATAAAGACGATTTTCTTTTTCAAATAAAATCTCTATCAAGCATTCAAACAACAATGATACAAATAAAAATGTTAACAAAGAAAAGTTGTCAGTTAACAGATTCTTTTAATGCTTACTTGTAAAGTTATATTTGAAAAAAAAGAAAGTCGTCTTCATTTTATCGATACAAACGCCGGCCACTGTATTAGAAATTGTTTCTTCTACTTAAAAAAAAACTTTTATTGCTCCAGAATTTAATGGAATTTTAAGATTTTAAAAATATATTCATGAATTGTTTAACCCGTAGATGATGGAAATAAAAAACTTCTACAGACATATGATAAGAGCGTATATTTAAAAAAAAAAATTTTAATTGAAGAGACTGTGGACGTAGTTTCAACTGACTCTTTATTTTAGAGTAACGTGTCCGATTCACATCGGTTCCCTTTAAACCTTTCAGTGATCAAAGATGACGAAAGAAGACCCCCCCCCCCATCCTTAACCTATAGAGACTTTTGTAATAGCTGATAAATTTGTTTCCAACCTCATTTATATTTAAAAAATAAAAATAGCTAGTCTCCAGAAGTTAAAAATAAATAAATAAATAAATGAAATTATTTTAAACGCATTGGACACAGAATATGCGGGAAATAGTCAACTTTGTTGAGTTCACACTGTAAGCTAGCATATGCTCCAGTTTACTAACTTACACAAGTTCTTTGACGTGGAGAACCAGTCAAAGGTTTAAAGGGTGCCGTTGTAAATCAGGTATTCCCTTCTTTGCATGGGGGGGGGGGGTTACTTAAAATTACGCTCACAGTCCTTATGAAAAAACTACCTTAGATAACTTGACAAGTTGACATGTATTGAATAATCGCGAAAATAAAAATGTTTTTAACCTTGATTAGAAACGCAGAGAAAGCTAATATCAAAAGCTGCCTTTCCATTGTGACTGCTACAAAAATCTATTTTTTTCTTTCAAAAATATATAAATAATAATTTATGGTTTATCACAGATGAGACTTCAGAGTCTATTAAATCTATTCATCAAGCCTCATTTCCAAAATGCTTTGATTCCATTAAAAAACAAGCTGGGACTTCATTCAAATAAGGAGTCAAAATTAGTTAAAGGTCGTCATAATCGTCTCATTTTTGATTTGTAACACTGCATCATATCTAAATTATACTATAGAACATGAAAATTCTAAGAATAATAAGGGAAAAATAAATTTGATTTTTGCCTTGAATGTAGTATTCGCATTATCCTGAATCTAAGAAAAGCAGAACAGTACAGTGTACACACTGTACTGATAGCAGTACAGTTGTACAAATGATTGGAAAGAGGTATTCTAGATTTCACATTTTATATTTATTCACCTTTTAGTGAAAATTATCTGAAATCAAATTCTATCTGGTTCAATTACACCATCACATTACAAACTCTTCAAATTTTTATACTAACTATATTGAAACATATTCACGTACACTACATAGAAGAATTGGAACAGCACTTCACAGTTTTTAAGGTCTTTCGTAAATTATTTAATAATAATTCCATATTTTTTCTTTAAATTTTAATTTTCTTTGTAGCTATGTAAAATAATACTTAGATTATTTACAGAAATGTGGGTAATGTTATTAAAATTGCCATTATAAACTACGTTTTCACATTTAAACTGAATTCAATATATCCAATACAAAATCCTCTCATCAATACAGGGATAAATATAAATTACAAAATTATAGTCATTATTATTAATCATTAGAACACATTTAAAATTTGATAATGAACTGAATTAAATAAAAAATTTAAAAGTTGATTTGAACAATAAGAGTTTTAACACACCCCTTTTTTAATCCTATTATCTATAACCTAGCATGACACAACTTGTGAATTGTAAATCTAAAAATCAAATGAAGCAAATACAACAGCTGTTAAATAAAAAATATTTCGCAAAAAAGAAATATATATATTTTACTGACAGAATTAAAAATTGTCTTAATATCGGGGTTGAGGATTCGAGGATGAGGGTTGGAGAACATATTAGGGGATTGAGAGAATGAAGGATTTAGTGATTGGGAATGAAGGATTGAGGCAATGAAGGATTAAGGGAATGAAGGATTAAGAGAATAAAGGATTAAGAGAATAAAGGGTTAAGAGAATAAAGGATTAAGAGAATAAAGGATTAAGAGAATAAAGAATTAAGGGAATGACGGATTGAATGCATAAGGAATAAAGGGAATACAGAATAGAAAAAATGAAGAACTAAAGAAATGAGGAAGAATTGTAAGAATGAAGGATTGTGGGAATGAAGGCTTACGGGAATAAAAGATTACGCGAATGACGGAAAGATTGAATCAGTAAAGAAATAAAGGGAATGAAGGATTGAGGAAATGCATAATTGAGGGAATGAATGATTAAGGAAATAAAGGCTCGAGGGAATGAAGGAGAAAGATTGTGGCAAAGAAGGATTAAGGGAATGAGCGATTGAGGAATGAAAGATTAAGAGAATGAAGGATTTAGGGGATAAAGGATTGAATTATGAAGAATTGGGAGAATGAAGGATTAAGGAAATAAAGGCTTACGGAAATGAAGGATTAAGGAAATAAAGGCTTACGGAAATGAAAGATTACGGTATGACGGATTAAATGAAAAAGTAATGAAGGGAATGAAGAGAATGAAGGATTGAGGGAACGGATTAAGGAAATAAAGGATTATGGGAATTATGGATTGAAAGAATGAGAAATGAAGGGAATGAAGTCTGAGGGAAAACTTCAAATTGAGAAATAGATTAAGAAAATTAAAGATAAATAAATGCGTAATCAAAAAATAATAAAAAACCAGTCGAAAAACTGATCTAAACTGTTGTGCCAAATGTTTAAGATAAACTGTTCAGTGTACAAAACTGACTGTAGAAAGGAGAGTAAATAAATATCAAGGATAGATAGATGGATAGATGAACAGATGAATAGAGGATATATGATCAATAAATTGCAATATTGAATACAGGTGATACCAGCCTAAATTGTAAACACAAAATATGTTCAAGGAAGATCATTTCTTTTTACAAACAAGAGAACTGCATCTTAGAAATGAATATTAAATATAAACCAATTTGGCCTTGTTGTTATACAATCATCTTTAAAAACGTAGTAAACTTTTTTTCCCAAAGAAGATTTGCGGGTTCCTTGTCTCTCTTCCTTGACAAAATGCAAGTGTACGACCTACAGCTGAAAACACCTTTAAACATGATAGACCGCGCTTGGTAGCCAGTGAGGCTCGACATTTACGAGCAAATATTGTGTAGTCTCAGGTTTCAGTTTATACTAATGTATTATTATCAAAGAACTGGCTAACAGTATATTTTAATACGGTGCTTAACTTCTATTTATGTTCAGCCTAAGCTTTTGGCAAGAAATAACATAACAATATATTAATGATGGTCATTGTTAAACAACATAAAATCAATTAATCCACGAAGTACTTCTGCAGGACAACTATTATACCTTAAACTTAATAACCTGATAAAGCAATCACAGCATGGCTTCATGAAGAATAAGAGCTGCACTACCAACCTTTTAGAATTTTTGGACAGGGTAACCACACTGATTGATCAAGGAGATAGTGTAGATGTCATCTACTTAGACTTCAGTAAAGCCTTCGACAAGGTGCCTAAAAATCGTCTGCTAGACAAGATCAAGGCCCACAACATTAGAGGTAATGTTCATAAATGGATCTCTCAATGGTTGAGTGGCAGATTGCAGCGTACTGTACTAAATGGATCATTCTCTGAGTGGTGTGAAGTTTTGTCAGGGGTACCCCAGGGGTCGGTGCTGGGGCCTTTAGCATTTATTATTTTTATTAATGACCTGGATGGAGAAACCTCTCTCATCTCAATAATGAACAAGTTTGCTGACGACACCAAGTTGGGTCACAAGGCTAATATAGAAGCTGACAAAGAGGTACTTCAAAAAGCTCTCGATGATCTCTGTGTGTGGTCGGACAGGTGGGGCATGGAGTTCAATGTTAATAAGTGCAAGGTCTTACACCTGGGTAAGAAAAATAATGAGTTTGAATATTATATGAATGGATCCTTACTGGCATCTGTAGATCAAGAAAGGGATATTGGTGTGATAGTGGAGAAAAGTTTAAAACCTTCCCTACAATGTGCTGAAGCAGCAAAGAAAGCAATGGTTGTGTTGGGGCAAATTACCAGAGCATTCCAATACAAGAGAACCAGGACGATCTGAACAATACTCTGGGGGACTGGAACAGACATTCCTACAATACTCCTACTTGGAGTCCTTGGAATCACATTACAAGTAACCAAGTAAGTATAGTTAATTAATTTAATCGCATTTTATAAGTTTACCATTGATAGAACTAACTTTTTGGAATAATGTAAATTTTAGATGTCTTTTTTTTCTGGCAGGATGTTGTCTGAATTTGGTAGAAGTTCTTTGGCGATAGTAAAAAATAGTTTATTAATAATCAGAAGTATACAAATAATGAGGTAGTGTTTTATCATTGTACGTACTAAGGAAGTTAGGACAATGTTTTATTTATTTTAGTAAATTTGAAAAAGTATATTAGGAAAATGATTTCATAAAAATAGGGGATTAGGATAATGGTTTCCTGAAAGAATAAGTAGATTAGAATAATGGTTTCCTAAGAATATGTAGATGAGGATAATAGTTTCCTAAAAATGAGAAAATTAGGATAATGGTTTCCTAAGAATAAGTAGATTAGTATAATGGTTTCCTAAGAATATGTAGATGAGGATAATAGTTTCCAAAAAATAAGAAAATTAGGATAATGTTTTCCTAATAATAAGTAGATTAGGATAATGGTTTCCTAAGAATAAGTAGATTAGGATAATGAATATCTGTCTGATAGAAATCTTGATCAACAAGATCCAGATGTTGTTCTCGAACTTCAGCATCAAAATCTTGAAGATGTTCAACATTGAATCGGTCTTCAGCCATTTTCCTGATCCAAGGATTCAAAATTTAAAAAAAGATTTAAAAGTGAACAGAAAATTTTTCAAGTACTGGATGTCAAATTTATTTAAAATTTTTTTTTGGCATTTGAAGTGCAAACCTTGTTTCTTTAATGGGGGACGAGAAAAACAAATTAGAAAAAAGGAATTGATGATTAATGAGAATTAGCTTAACTACAGGATTATCAACAAATGATGAAACTGTAAAGACGACCTGAAACTCAGAAAGTATAACTATCCTAAGGTCAAATTAAGTTTTTTGTCCTAAATGGCGTATTAAATGATATATGGTATATACCCAGTAAATATGTCATTTAGACTTCTAAAGTGTCCTCTCGGACTAACTTAAGAAAGAGGGGGAGATATATTCTTCTTACTAGAAGTTGAATTCCCCCNAAATTTGTGTTCGGCTATTTATCGCAAACTAGTTATTTTTGCCACTAGACCACTTATTGTACGACATTTTATGTCATTTTACATCACTTAACTTGATTGTTATTTTAAATTTAAAGTCATTTTGTAATTTATGCCATTTTTTTACCACACAATACACCTATAATTCTGTAACTTTCGATCCGTGACCAAGACAATGTACACTTTATCTTATCATTTTCTTTTTAATAATACAAACATTTTCATTTAAGTTGTATTGGGGCTTTGATTTTACAGAATTTTTTTTTAGAATTTTCGAAAATTGAATAAAATCTTTTTTGATGATAAGTAGTGTATGTCTGAGCAACAGTAAAGATTCTAAACGTTTCTTCAATTTCTCTTCCCATAGAACTTAAAATACAATTGAAAATTGAGATTTAGTTGAAAGGAAATAAATAAAACTGTCTAAAATATCTGATTTCTCTTCCCAATAGGGGAAACTTTTAAATTTTTGGGGGGAAATAACGTTTTTTTCTTTTCCCTTAATGAAGCAACTGGGGAAAGAAGTAATATCACCATTCAGAAATAACGGGAAAGAAATATCTTTTCAATTTTCTTCCCCAAACTCATTTACAGTCCCTTTAAACAATACTTGAGACATAAAAGTTTATATGATTTCAAATCCTTATTCCTGAAAACATGAAAGGTTTGAGAACGGAGAGGAGCCATGACAAGAGCGAGTCCTCCAGGCTTCAGGAGACGATAAAGCTCAGATACTAGAGCAGGTCGTCCTTCCTGCACAGAGATTGAATTGATAAACAGTTCTAACTAGACAGACAGACAGATAGATAGATAGATGTATAGAGCTCAGATACTAGAGCAGGTCGTCCTTCCTGCACAGAGATTGAATTGATAAACAGTTCTAACTAGACAGACAGACAGATAGATAGATAGATGTATAGAGCTCAGATACAAGAGCAGGTCGTCCTTCCTGCACAGAGATTGAATTGATAAACAGTTCTAACTAGACAGACAGATAGATAGATAGATAGATGTATAGAGCTCAGATACTAGAGCAGGTCGTCCTTCCTGCACAGAGATTGAATTGATAAACAGTTCTAACTAGACAGACGGATAGATAGATAGATAGATGTATAGAGCTCAGATACAAGAGCAGGTCGTCCTTCCTGCACAGACATTGAATTGATAAACAGTTCTAACTAGACAGACAGACAGATAGATAGATAGATGTATAGAGCTCAGATACTAGAGCAGGTCGTCCTTCCTGCACAGACATTGAATTTATATACAGAAACTAGACAGACAGACAGACGGACAGACAGATGGATGTATAAATAGAGTTCAGATACTTGTCAGTACTTTTAATCTACAGTTTAGTTGTTTTCAAACTTACGTCGAAGAAAAGGCAGTCCGCACAGAGAATAATATCATATTGAGCTGATAAACTTATAACTTGTACATCGGTCCATCTAAAAATACAGACTCTAAAAATAGAGATTGAGGCTTTTTATAATAAGTTATAACCCATAAAAGAGGTGGTTAAATTAATGAAAAATCATTCCCCCCGTCTCGAAATTTGTTTTCCCCCACAAGTTTAATATTTAAAATATCATTGTTGCCGAATTGGGAAAAAATAAATGAATTTGAAAAATATACACCCCTGACCCAAAATTGGATTAAAGCTTTATTTATTTTGAGCACGCTAAATACATGTTTGTTAATATAGTTTTTTTTATAAATTTTTTAATGAACCATTCGGATTTTTGATTTAAGCCGCTACGCTGGGACATCTTTTTTTGGGATAAGAATGGCTTAGTTCTGTTAATTATTTACTTTTCTAAAAGCTGATAATATAATTAAGCTTTTCTCAGCTATGTAATTTGTCTTAAACTTATCGCATCCTTTTCATTATTAAGCAATCATAATTATGTAAAAATGACAAAACTAATTTCAAATCTGATCCAACCTGTATTTTAGCGTTGAAATCTCCAGATCTGAGTTTTTTGCCACAATTTTAGCCAGATTATCCACAGAGTCTTGATTTCCGTCAGTCAGTGTTACGGAGGCAGGATTGCAAACCCTGCAATAACAGGTTTTATTTCTTTTTATACCCTAGATCTTTAAACCTTTTCACAATTGGAAAAGGGGTGGGGGGGTTCCAATAAATCGTGTCATTTAATAAACGATTAATAATACCCATGAGTAAAAAACTTTGTTTAAAATAAAATATTGTAAGTCGAAAGAAATTTAACAGATAGAAGTAGATTGACCTACTTGGCAACGACTAGACCTGCTAGACAGGTTTGACCTCCACCAATCTCCATCACAGAATTATCACGAAACAGATCCTTAAGAAAATCTTATGATTACACCTGTAGTAAGTAATTATTTATTTATGAAATATAACAGAAACATAAAAAAATATTTTAAGTAATTATTTATTCATAAAATATAACAGAAACATAAAAATATTTAAAAACCTCCAAAAATAGGGGCTGTGGGAATATTTCCTCCCATTTCTAAAAAAATACAAAAAATGAAAATGAAAGGAAAAAGAAAGGAAAGTTACATTTTTCTTGTTAACATTATATTTAATATAAACTGGTAGTAGTGGTGGATTCTTAGTATTTTTAAACGATGAACTAACAGCTTTTAGAAATAAAAATGATTGATTTATTTGTAATGTTAAAAAAATAGCATCTTTTTAATTTACACCGATTTTTGAAATTCTTTATGTTTGCTTATATCTTTTACTCTTTAATCTTTTTAGTCTTTTCTTTGTAAAATCGTCTTTGCTTTCTTCGATTCTTTTGCAAACAAAGCATGTGTTAGAATTAAAACATTTGTTCTGCTGATAAAAATCTTCAATTAAATTCTGTTTAAAATTCAAAATAAGATTGATATTTGAAAGCTTAGAAAAGTGTCGTTTATTTTCATACCATATTTTAGGGAAATTGTGAGGAGTATTTTTAATAGATTTTACTCTAGGATTATAAAAATCATTTCTGTTTCTAACATTTGCGTTTTTGATATTTTTTGATGATGTGAAATTTTTTTTAAATGTTGGGGGTTATTGTTCTCCTAATAATATTATAAAAAATAAAAATTTTATAACATAAAAATTCCTTATTTTCTGAATGGGAGTATGTTCAAAGCCCAAAAAGCTTCCGCTGTGAGACTTATTCTAGGTAACCCTTTCTTTATGAGATTGGAAAATTGAGTAATAAAGCAATTTCATGGTTTCAAAGCTTAAGAAGTTTTATTTCCATAGCATAAAGTAAAAAAGTTAATCGCCAGCATATCTTTTTAAAGTAGTCATTAAAGTTCAATTTAGTATCCAGTCATATTCCCAAGAATCTAACTGAAACTGTTTCTTTCATGTGTTCAATTTTACGTGTAGTTTCTCCTAGTTTTAAGAGCACATCGGGACAGTCGTTTTGTGCACTTAGAGAATTTGAAAATAAAATTGCTTTAGTTTTCTCAAAGTTAGTAGTAAGTTTATTAGACATGTACCAACAAGTAATTTTTCTAATTCTTTATTTATTGTGTCTGCTAAAGTATTTAAGCTTTTATATTTTGATGCCACATTTGTGTCGTCGGCAAAAGGCAGAGGCTATACAGAAAAGTTTGTTAGATTGGAAGAAGTCATTTACATAAATAATAAACAGTAAACAGCTTAGACTTGATCCATCTCTAATATTTCGACTAAGTCCGAGAAGGTACCATTTATATCGACTTTTTGCCCCCTGTCTCGTAAGTAAGATTCAAACCATTGTAATGTGTTGCCCCTGATTCCTGCGCTTTCAAGCTTTTCCGAAGTTGCTTGTAATCAATAAAGTCGTAAACTTAAGATATATCTAGCATGACAAGTAAAATAGATTCATTATTATTTAGTGCGCTGAAAATATAGTATACAAGTTTAGTAATTCCTTGCATATCATTACGTCCTGACTTGGAAACCCATATTTTGTTAGACCCTTAAGATTCCAAACTTAGTCAGTTGGTTCAGATTCAAACTGAAAACTCTTAGGTCTATCATACCAGAGCTGGGAACTTTTGAATGGTGGATATCAGAATTAATGCTTGATCCACTCTCTTTCTTAATCTCCAGATTAAATAGGCTTGTTCTCTTTTTAAAGTTAATCTCCAGATTAATCTACCGATCGGGATTAAGGATATTCCATTCTAAAGTTTTCAGCTCAGGTTCCACAGATATAAGGTTCAGAAATTAAAATTCGCGCAGAGAAATCAGCTCCTTTTATGTTAATTAGATTCGTAACCCTTTTTTATTCAAGCTTAGCCGATTTAATCCGACTCAAAGTTTGAAAAGGTCTTTATTACCAGGTTGGAAAGATATAATTGTAAAAATGATTTAGTAAATGCCTTATTCCGATATTTCTTTGAAGTATGTATCAATCCACACACAACTCTCTCAAACTCTATACTCTACCGAGAACTAATACTTCTGACCGTAAATAAACAGAGTTTATATCCAACCAAATATATTTTTGGTTTAATGATACAGGTAAATATGAAACTGACAGATAGGTCTGTTCTGAGATTAATGAACATAGATATATATATACTAAACACGTGAATTAGGATTATTACTATATTTATTACTATAATAATAATAATAATAATAATAATATTTGCCGTCAATCCTTAATCCAAATAGCTTCCTTTCATCTATAGTTTTGTTATAGGTATAGAAATTAGAGTGATCAGTTACTTTTACAATAATCAAAAAAAATGTTTATGGTTATCTTAGAATGTCTTAAGTTCAGCAGTATATCTGGGAACTGGTTAAAGCTTATATTCTTATCTGAAATCTAGAAAAGCTGTAAATATGTAAAAGAAATATTTGTAGAAATCGTCCTTTTCTTTTCAAAGATAAATGCTATAAAGGGACCGTTGTGAATCGTTACTGTCATTTTGTTTATGTGTTACTTTACTTAATAATACCTTACCTTATTTTTAATGCAATATAGGGCTAAACATTCTTCACTCGGCCATATACAAATATTTCCAGTATTGTTAAACCCTAAAAACAAGATAATTTTAAACCAGTGTTTAGAATCCGGATCCAGATCCAAGGAGCAAAATATCAACCAAAACCTGCAAACAAGCAAATCTTTTGCTCTCAAACCCCATATCTGGACTGTTGAAAAAAATCACTATAAAAAATTTCCTTTTCTCTGAATGGTACATCAAGTTATGGATTAAAAATAACGAATAAAAATCAGATAAATAATTTGAAAAATTTTGCTTCTATTTGAAAAAATCAGTAAATCTTAATGAAATGTTTATGACCTGGATTCGTTCCTTTTTCATGTAAAATTTAAAATTTTAAGCGTTTCAATGCAGGGTTGCCCGATGCCCATAAAAAAAATAAGAAATGGTGATTGAATTACCCAGCGTTGCGCGGGTTAATCTTGCGGTATAGCGAACATAAAATGCGCAGAGAGCTTTATTAAATAGAAGTATAATTCAATTAGAAAACAGACCTGTGAGATTGTTAAGAGACATCTTTGGTTTCATGATATGTATTTGTACAGTGTACTGCTCAACCTGTGCACGAAGGAAATTACAGATCTAGCGGCAATAAATCATTCAATCACACTTTTAGGAAGGCCCTATGACCAGTGACCACATCGTAATCCCTAACCATGATTGTGCTATGCTTGGAAAGAAATAACAATTTACAATTCGCACCTAACGTAGAGCACATACCATTTTACAGATAAAAGGCCCAGAATAAACATTAGGTTTAAAGATTACTTGGATGTTTAAAAATTACTTTTAATATATTTTTTCCCCATTTCCCTTATTAAATTTTCCTTTCCTGAATGGCAAACCAGGTTCCTGATTCATTTTCTTCAAGCTTTTCACTGAAATAAAGAAATTAGGTAAAACAATAATTTAGGAAATTCATTTAAAACTAGGCTTTTTACGGCCATCTTTAATTTCAAATTTCAATTGTGGTTCATGTGTGATCATTTTCTCGATGTACAACATAAGAATAATGACAAAAAAGTTCGTGGATTAAATAATTAAATATTTTTCGTGGATTTTCTAAATTTTACGAATATCAAAATGTTTTGGAGTCAAATTTTTGTAATTTTGAGAGCTTAACCCTTCCCTGGGGTCATGTGAGTTGCCTCATTAATTTTTGGGCCCAGTCGGTTCAAGCAGACAAACAAACAGACAGACAGACAAGCAAATAATGTATAGATTTACTGTTTTGTATGTTTGAGAGTTTATCTAGAACCTTTAGGATAACAAATTCGCAAATTTTGCAAGAACTGTCATTTTAATTTAAGTGAACGTTGTAAACCTTCCATTGAAACAATTTTGAGCTCCAAAAATATGTTATTTTTGTTTAAAAACGATGTTGTTGCTTTAGGATGTAGTTGTAAATTGTTAGTGCCACTTTCCCATAATTTATAACTATAAATGGAATCATCAATTTGCACTGTATGTATAAACAAATTGTAAATTTGAAGTAATTTCCTTAAAATATTATCACCTCGAATACCTTTTGAATATATTATATGAACTAAACCGGCGTTTAGATTGGGTGACGCCGTCTGTCGGATTTATTTGTTTATCAAGCAAAGCCTTGGCCAATATTTTCCACCGTCCTCGCCCATTCTCCTTCATTTCTATCTGGAAGTATACAAACAATTCACATGGTAATATTTAATTCTTAATCCGCCTTTTTGTAAACAGATAAGAATCTTTTTTAGGATTTAAAAAATCAAAATCAATAAAAGATAAGTTGCCTGGCCTCTATTTCTCAAGTTAAACAAGGCTAGAAGACTTAACAGCTTGCCTGGCCTCTATGTCTCAAGTAAAACGAGGCTGGCAGGTTTTACAGTTTGTCCGGCCTCTATATCTTAAGCTAAACGAGGCTGGAAGGTTTAACAGTTTGTCCGGCCTCTATATCTCAAGCTAAACGAGGCTGGAAGGTTTAACAGTTTGTCCGGCCTCTATAGCTCGAGTTTTCTGGAGAAGGTTTGAGGAGAAGAAAGAAGGACGTTCTCGTTCCATCTCAACAATACGATACTTGTCAGGAACCTGAAAATAAAATTTATGGGACTGTGTTGTGTATGCGTGATTTCAAGTGACCTTCCATCTAGAGTAGCATCTCTGATTAATAGCAGTAACCTCCAAAGCATTTTCTGATCAAGGTTGAGTGAGATTTCCTTTTTTCCCCTCGTAAAATAAATATTTTTATTCGTGGTTTCTCTGTAAAAAAAACTTACGGAATACAACAGAAACAACGAAGGATTCAACACGTTTTTAGAAAGAAAAATGACTTTATTTTTCATATTTTTACTCAGAAAAGTTGAAAAGAGGGATTGAATGAGCCCATCACAAGAAATTAGGTATTCAGTCCACGTGACTACTGACTACCCCTCTTCTTCCCCCTAAAAAATTATTATAAATAATTATCAAAATAAAATGTTCTTCTCAGAGGGATATTAATAAATCGGAAACATTGGAAGCACGAGCTTAGTCTTCTGCTTCTAGCTGACCAGTAAGCAGTGCTAAGAATCCGGTACATTTAGACTTCCTGGATCCAGATTCGGATCCGGATCCAATTGTAAAAAGTATTTTGCTCTCAAACCTGAACGATTCATCAAATTTTAGCATAAAAAATTAAGAAGAAAAATAAAAATTCTGCTGTCACCATAAAAAAATTGCTCATGACCTGGTTGCATCCGGATCCAGGGCGGATTCGCATAAAAATGAAATAGATCCTAAGCACAGCCAGTTAATATGGTGGAACCAACCAAAACGTTGAAAAATCGAATAAGTTCAGTCCTATTCTGTACCTGAGTCTGTTCTCCTTTATATAAAACGACGACATCCTGGTCTTTGGGTGTTCCTGTTCCAAAGGTTTCTTGCATCTTCTTCTGGATTCTAAAAAAGTTCAAGTTCATTTACACTCATGGTTAGAAGTTACCTTCCTCATTTTAAAATTTTAAAACTTTTAATTCAGACCTCAAACAATAAACAGATTTAAACTTATTTATTCAATCAAAATCAGCGAGACCGAGTCATGCCAAAAAATCGAAGATACGGTTTCTTTCCAAATTTTTAGACGTGTAGCTTAAATGGAAATAACTTAGAAAACGTAATGTGGCTCCAAGGTATTGTTTTTTAACAACAATTTTAAGAATATGTTGAGTCTTGAATCTTTTTCTTTGTTTATTGGATTAAACAATGATTATTAAGAGAGCGCGAGAATAAAGAGAATCGGCGGGGGAGTAAGAAGTTATTTGTATGTATTGTGTACACCTCTTTTATTTCTTATTTAACCTTGTTTTTCATTTTTTATGAGTTGGGGGGGGGGGGAAGTGTTACTAAACATGTAACTTACGCTTTAGTTTCTTCCATTATTCTTGTATAGGTGAGAGGCGCTAGTTTTCCTAGCTCGAAATATTCTCCTAAAATCCAGGAAACACTTCATAAATATTAATCCTTCAACGATCTTCAAACATAAGTTTTAAGATTTTAATTTTTGTTTTTCAAACTTCTTTCAATCTCCCCATTACTGGGAGTCCAGCTATTTTTAGAGCTATAAGTTATAACACTTACTAAAATAAGTTATAGCACAAAAATGTCCAGAGATGTAAAGCATTCGTATTAATTCTTTTCAACTATAAGGAAATGACACTTTTACTGTATATTAAATCAGGGGTAAATATTTTCTAAAATATACCCCCCCAGAAAAAGAGCCAAAAATTTCCTAGTTTGGACCCGGACGTTGCTCTGAAAAAAGGAAGGAATTGAATTCAAATTGATCTCTACTAATCTTACTTCTATCTGGTGCGTCTATAAAGGAGAAAGTTGTTAAACACGACTCATACCTAAGAGCGCAGGACCCGTACAAACTGAGTTGTATTATTCCACTTAGATCGTAAATAGTTCATTCATAATTCATCAAGATATTACAACCAACAATTGTAGAATTCAATTCGATGCATTCATATAAAGTTAATATTTGGTAATATTTTTCTAATTTGTTTTTAAATTAATATTTCACTTTCACGACTGGCACTGGTTTACAAGCATTCCTGGAAAATATGGAAATGTCGTCTTAATTATTAAAAATCATCGAAATTTTTAAATGAATTTTTAAAATTAACGCTTGGGTCATAGGAAATAAAAAATATTATGAAATATCAACAGTATACAACGAATGAATTCGACAATTGTTGAAAAATCTGAATTTAACTATTTCAATCTGAGTGGAATACCGAATAATGCAACTTCGTGAATTTGTATTGATGCGACGCTTTTGTATCGAATTTAATTCGATATCAACATATACCCTTTACATTTTTCGCGAACACTCCCTTTAAGCCGATTTTATCCCCAATAACTGGTTTCGTAAAATACGCGGAAATTTTGTCTTGATGCAATTTACAGGAATTTGTTCAGAAAGGGGGTTTACATTTGTTTCTTTCCAGGGGACTCTACACCCGTTCGAGCCTGGAAACAAAAGAGCCCCCTGTAAACACCACTGCACCTATTTGGACTTATCTTACATTTTTGTTTGAAATATGAAGTGTTCCCTTTCCTGTTTTATGATCTACTCTTATCTTCTGGTTGATTCTGGGCAGTTTGTATGTTCCCCATTCCTAGAAAAATATGTTTTATTAAAAGATTAAGAAAATTAAAGATGGAAACTTTTACATTATAAATCACTTTTGTGAGGCGACGAATTAAAATTGTTTTTCTTTGACATTTCTATAAAAACATCGCTCAATCAGACGTCACAATTTAAATCTGATCTTGGCCAATGAGGAGACAGGTCAGCTGTTTACGGATTAATTACTTAAAAATTTCTGCTGTGGATATCAATTTAGGTGTTCTAGATGAGCCTTGGACAACATTTTCCCCTTTAAGGCACTCAACTAAAAAACTACTCAGAGCAAAGCTGAAACTTTCGAATTCTGGATATCGAGATTAATTCTATATCTCCTCTTTTAATTAATCATAAGCTTAATTTAGTCTGATAGAAATATCCAGGGAAGTATTTAAAATGCAACCAATCAGAGTGTTAATTGTAAAAACCGAACAGCCGATCAGAAGCCGAGAAATTTTAAAATTTTGACCGCGATCAATGAGAGAAATCCAAAAATAGAGGATGAGTGTAAACAGTGGATACAGAGATAAAGCAATCGAAATTAAGAGAATCCAATACATTAGTTTGCAGCTCTATTAAACTCTAGCAACAGATTAAGCTATAAATGTATTCCTTCCGTTTAAAAGTTCCAAGTTCATATTTCTTTCCGGTCTCTAGCATCAAACAAAAACATTTCAAAGAAAAAGAAGATAAATCACATCAGACTCGTTGGGAGCCCTTTATCCCACCCCCAACCCCAAAGTGACTAAATTAAATAAGGTCTGAAGACAGGTAAATAAAAACATAAAAATCTGACCAAACTTCCAAATCTTCTTGTTTGTCTCTTCTCTAGACATCTTCGTCTTCTCGGTGTGTTCCAGAGAATACTGGGATTCAACCAATTGTCACAATTCTACAATAACAAAATTTAAATCATATCTTTGACTACTGGGAAAATGGAAAGGTTTGTCAACGAGAATTTTAAGATGTTCTCCATGATTTACAAATCATATCATACTTTGCAGGAATGGCTTAAGGCTCCTAAATGAGGGTTCGAGATTCAAATCAAATCAAATCAAATATTTATTGCACGAAGATTAAAATTTATACAATATAAATATCACATCCAAAACGACCAAGCTTATATTTGCTTGATTCACTTCTAAAAGAGGTCTTTCATATGCCGAGCTGCTCTTGAAAAATCTATTTTTCTAAAAGACAGCAAGGAGGCCCAAAATGGCTGATCTCGAATAGAAGTGGTATTGGATAAAACTGCACCTCTAAGAAAAAGTTTTGTAAGGAGTTTCTAAAAATCTCCCTCTAATTAAAATTTTAGAAGTTATAGAAAAGTTTTGAAAGGAGTTCCTAAAATCTCCCTCTACTTAAAATTTGGAAGTTTTAAAGTTTTATTTGTTATACCGACACTTAAAGAACTTTAGTTACCCTGTGCAATAGACACCTATATTACAGTGATATGTAGACACTGCTTCAAGTACCTGATATAATAGACTTTGAATATATACTTTACGTGAATATATAATAGACCTGTGCAATAGACAATTCAATTACAGTGATATATAGACACTGCTTCAAGTACCGGATATTATATACTTTGATACTTTATTTGAGTACTTGTAACTAAATATAACTCCGATACTGCTGCTGTATTGTTCAGGCTTGGTTGGCAGGCAGATTGTAAGTTGGACAGTCGACCCAGCAAGAGTTGGTCTGTTGATCTAGCACCATCGGAAGCAAAGGGAAGGATTGACATTGAGGAGTTGCTCGTCCAGACAGCTTAGACCTTAGTATCGGAGGTCGAGCTTAATCAACTTAGGATTGGGTGTACCATATTAACGAGCAAATATTCTTTTAGTACGTTATATGTGCTTATATAATTTAATCACAATCTTGGTACACCCATCAAACTTAGAGAGACCGAGTTAAAATATAACTTATTTATCCAATATAGTCTTCGGAGTTCTGGTATTTCCGGATACCTTTACCCCGACTGGTCAGCTAGAGCACTATTATCCCAGGATAATTCTGCCCTGGCAGTCCTTTACTGAGAAAGTTCAGATATTTCTGTAACTAAAAGAAGGCTAAAAGAAAAAAAAAAGAAAAAATAGAAAAAGAATAAGAGAAAAAAATATTTAAAAAAAGAGAAAAAATAAAAATGGTACAAATCCGAAAATATTTGAAATACAAAAAATAGTACAAAGAGCCCACTCAGTAACTTAATTTTGTATAACTATCTAAATTGTAAACTCCGCGAGGAGTCCCCGCTGAAATATTAGCCAGTTTCATAGGGGAATTTGTTTTGTTTGTTTTCTTTGTCATATTTTCGTGTCTCTGCTACTTAAGAGACTATTGTAATCTTAAAGAGACTGCTGTGATCTTTGATTAATTATTTCTTAAGACATGGCTCCGTCTAAGAAAAAATACCACTGCCTGGTCTGTAATGAGGAGATTACAGGCAAGACAGGTTCTGTTGAATGCAGCTTCTGTGAAAAATGGGTACACCCAAAATGTGGAAACATCTCGAAGGCCCATCTAGAGATTCTGCTGGCTAGCAACACCACATATTGGACATGTGACCCATGCCATGCTGTAGCTGGAAAGATCAAAAAAGAAATACGTCAACTCCAGTCATCCCAGGATCAGATGAGAAAGGAGATGGGAGCAAGGATGGATTCTCTCAAGGAGGATCAAGATGCACAGAAAGTTAGAATGGATAGTTTTGAAAAACAGCTAGGCTTGTTAAATAAGGAGAAAAACAATAATGATGCTGTCTATAAGGAAATGAGAGATCGTGAAAATAGGAGGGAAAACTTGGTAATTCACCAGATCCCTGAGGCTCCTATTTCACTGAAAGGTGGGGAGCGCAAAGAATTTGATGCAAATAGAGCCATGGAACTGTTCCAATTCATAGGTTGTGCTGTAAGACGAGAAGATATTAAGTTTATCTACAGACCTGGGGAAACGACTGAACCAAATCGTCCACGTCCAGTGATTCTCAGTCTCCAAGATGAAGCAATGAAAAAACATATTTTATCAAACACTAGGAAACTAGCAGGCTCCAAATTTGATAAAGTGAGCATCATTCCAGACCTCACACCTCAACAAAGGAAAGAAGAAGATGACCTAAGAAATGAAGTTATAAAGCTTAACGATGAACTAGACTCCACGGAGTCATTAAACTGGGAGTGGGTGCTGGTCGGACCCAGAGGAAGGAGGAGATTAATCAAAAGGAAAAAACTGAACCATGTAGAAGGACCAGGGCGGGGGAGAGGGGGAAATTGGAGAGGGAGAGAACCACGGCCAGCTCAACCCTCACAATCGAGGGATTATCAACAGGATATGGATGGTATCAGGGCAACTGCGAGGGGACCTTTGCGAGGGAACAGGGGAGGGAGAGGGAGAGGGAGTGGATCAATGAGGGGGCAGAGAATAGAAGAAACCAGTCCACAGGATACGGAAATGAGGGATGTGATCTTGGAGGGGAGGGGAGGGGGAGAGGATGAGGAAAGAGAGGAGATATTAACTCAGGAGGATTCCCACCCCAGAGCAATACCGCCAACAGAGGAAACAGATGGAGAGGAGGATACAGAGGAAACCACGGAGGAAACCGGGATGGGGATGGAGAGGAGGGTGAAGGGGGGAGAGAAGAGATTGAGGGGAGAGGCTTCACTCAGTCCTCCACTTCCAGCCCACAAGAAGAAGACGACCCCACAGCTTTGAAGATAATTTATTTGAATGCTCGTAGCCTAATGAACAAGATTAACGATTTGCAGATTTTAATAAATGATTCGGACCCAGATCTTATTTTAATTACTGAAACTTGGTGCAACGAGGACATATCTAATGCTATGCTAAATGTTACAGGATATTTTATTGAACCTGAATTAAGACTTGATAGAACCGATACCATGAACGGAATCGGAGGAGGTTTATTGGTTTATGCAAAAGAGAATTTAGTTGTAAAACCAGTACAAATTGATAATGATTTTAATATGTTCCGAAGATTTGAAGTGTTACGTAGTGAAAGCAAAGACGATGAAAGATTTGAAACCAAACCAAATCTTACCATAACACTGGTATACCGGCCTCCGCGCTCAAGAACGGAAAACATAAATGAATTGTGCAAACTTTTTAGAAACTCAGGGGATAATAGTATTTTGATTGGCGATTTTAACTTTCCGATGATAAACTGGGATGAATTAACATCGGACAGAAATTGTGAAAATTTCCTACAGTGCACCATGGATAATAATTTCGAACAATTAGTCACGTTTCCAACACATGTAAGGGGGAATGTATTGGATTTAATATTTACAAATCGCCCAGAAAACATTATAAATATAGAATCTCTAGGTAATCTGTCGAACAGTGACCACTCAATTTTATCTATCGATGTGATATTTAATCCGAAATTTAACTCATCGACTGAACTTATTGAAGATTGGAAAAATGGAGATGTCGAAGGTCTAAAAAATTTTCTACAAAGGGTTAATTGATATGAAGATCTGGATGGAAAGGATACCGAGGAGTGCTGGGATTTCTTTAAGGATAAAATTACTACAGGTATAAATTGTTTTATACCTAAAATAAGAAGACGCAAATCCAACAATCATCAGTGGATGACAAAACAGGTTAAACGTATTGTTAGGCAGAAACAAAGACACTACAATACATATCAAGCGGATAGGACTCGACAGAACTACGAAAATTATAAAAAAACAGAAAAGGCCTGTAAAAAAGCAGTTAGGTCGGCTAAAAGACGGTTTGAACAAAATATTGCAAAAAACGGAAACAAGAGACCCTTTAATTCATATATTAAGAGTAAAACAGCCTCCAGGGTTAATATTGGTCCTCTAAAAGTCGGTAATGAGATAGTTAGTGATAATCAAGGCATGGCGTCTATCCTGAATGACACTTTTAGCGGGGTTTTTACAGTTGAAGATCTCTCAAATATTCCCGTCTGTCCAACAGT